ATATACAAGACTAAAACTTAATTTTAACCTATTATACAATCACCTCTGTGTACATTATGCAAACTCATGTAAATCAGGACAAAAATATTTTTTGAAATCAAATTAATGAATGTTTTATTAGGTGTTTTGATTTTTAGAATATAACTTGTTTTTTGTTCTGGTTCTGAGATGGCAGACCCCCTTACTGAAAGGAGTACTTCTGGGGGCAAGGAGAGGAACTTTGGCAAAGGTCAGGGCTTAGGGAATGGAACTTCTGGTCCCAAGATGGTGACTAGGGGGCGGGGTACCTGTCTAGGGGCAGGGCTACCCATGCAGCCCTCAACAGCATGCCAAAATGCATTAAACAGTCCTCTAGCCAAAATAGTTGCCCACCCCGGTCTATCTGTAGGGCCTGACTTATTGCGGACCCAACTCGCTAATATCGTGGCCTGACTGTGGCAGGGGCTGTTATTTTTGCGCCCAAGTCATGGTGCCCCACCGCCATGCCCCCTGATTTGGCTTAAGAGGGCAGGTTTAGGGTCAGGTTTAATTGCAGCAGCAGAGGCCTTGCTCCCAAGGCCTCTGATCACTGCTGAAAAGCCCACAGGGAAGGAGTTGCAAAAGAAACGGAGAGGAAAGAGCTTGGGGGTAGGTAGGGAAGGAGATGTTTGCTTTTCCAGGTGGGAAAACTGGATTGCGGGAGATTGGGGCACTTGGGAACTACCTTGGCAGATGGCTCTGATGCCAAGAAGAGGAAGGTCTGTTTTTTCCTTCGGGTGGGAAAACTGGGGCATGAAGGTGGGGGGTGCCTGGCCCTGGCAGACTGTCGTGGCACTGGGTGGGGGGTGCTGTTTCCTCCTCTGTGCGTGTTCTCTCCCCCTGCCCCCAGCGTCTAGTGCCTCAGTTTTCCTGCCTAGAGGACCAAACAGCCTAGGACCAAACCCTACCCAGTGCCATAGCAGTCTGCCAGGGCAGCCCCCCAGGTTCCCCCAACCTCCCATGCCCCAGTTTTCCTGCCCAGAGGAGCAAATAGCCCCTCCTCTACACATCCCCAGGCTCTCTCCTCCCCCTGTCCCTTTTGTGACCACTTCCCTGCTCCCCTGGGCTGCTAGGCTTTTGCTACAGCAGCCATCTTGTTATAACAAAATCCCATAATATAATAAAATCCCAGAACTCCCCAGCAAGTGGCCATATTGTGGTATGTTGTGGCAAATGGCATTTTTTTTTTTTTTTTTTTTTT